GGGCGGCCTTTTTTTTAACCCGCCGGCCATTTTGGAACCGCCGATCAGCTGTTAGGAAAACATCGCTAAGCGAAAATAGGTAAGCGAAACAGCTTACCGATCATCGCAGAGCAATTTTTCCTATCTAAATCATCGCAATGCGATCGCAAAAGCAATCGCAAAAACTTAATCGCTATGCGGATTCGTCGTTAAACCAGGCGCCCATTAAGTGAGGCACCACTGTACAGGGAGACTTAAGAGCTCGCCAAACAAAAAGGAAGCAGATTGTCACAGAAAGCCCAATTTCTTACACAGATTTTGCAATGATCCCTCTTTCTTCTATCATAAACAAAGCAAGTAGAAGATAAAAGTCACATTGGTCCTTATGGATGCTTATTTCTAGACATGCACACAGGTACACACGTGCATGCATGCACACACACAAACTGTTTCATGTGTGTGTAAGTGTATGTGTGTTCATTCAGGATGTTCTTGCCTTTCTGACCTGGCCAAAGTCTCAAGAGAGCCAAAAAGCAGAAGCCAAACCAAAGCCATCAGAATCGGGGCAATCAAGAGATGGGAGTGTAGTAAGATAATGATGGCCCCAGCTGGGCTTCTGCTACCAGTTTTCTAGCCCCATCTTTCTGCAGCAATAAGGTTGAACTAAAAAGAGACTGTCTTTTGCCTGCTAGAAATGTTTGTTTTTCTGCAAGGCGTTCCCTCCTGTCATCTGCAATAGAACTGAAGCATGTTGTTCAGCAGTGATTTGCAGAGCACTTAGGAATTTTTTTGTTTTCTTTTTTCTCTGTATATCTATATATGTGTGCAATGAGGAAGCATGGTTGATTTTTACTGTGTGTAAATCTCAGACATTAATAGTTTCCTTTCTACTCTGCATACTAATCTAAGATTTGTTCTTTCTTCTGAAAGCGGATGTATGACTTCTTACTTTGGAGATTACACAGGAAGTAGAAGCCATTCCTCTCCTTCTACATGTTTAAAAATGTGACGTTAGTTTTGGGGACTTTGTTGGAAGAAGACAAATTATTTAATTGGTCTGTAAATTGCACCCATTATTTATTATAAATGTGAGCGCCCTCCATCTCACATTATGACGTAGAGAGTATTTGCAGAACCAGGCTCTTTTATTAGAGCAGCACAACGGTAACTGAGCCAATGTGGCTCAACAGTGAAACTTAAGTATTTCTATGGGCATCAGGGAATTAGTTGCACTCTCAAATAGTTTGGGTCAATGGAATAGTCCACAACAGTTCTTTCCTGGAAGGAGTAGAGTCCCACCTCCTCTACTAGCTCCAGCATGACCCTCAGATGGATGAAACATGGGTCACCTCAGCAGGAGTGCTGGGTGCATGCACTTAACTATCTCTGGAGTAATGTAGGTTGGGCACCTTCCCCAGTTAGTCCTCTATCATCACCTTTGGTGACAGCTGCTGCGCATGTGCAGTAATCTTCCTTACAGGGAAGGCCAAAGTTTATTTCAATATGGCTGAGATCATGGGAGTAACGAGCTGTGAAGGGAGGTGGAATACAAGGAGAACTGGCTGGCTGGCATTTGATATGCTGGCCTCTGGGTCCTTGTTGTGGGGTTGTTTGCCCCTTCTGTTTCCTCTGCTGCCCTTGCGCCCTTTGCTTTGCCTTGCGCCACCTTTCCTCATCTCAGCATACATGAGCTGCTTCCTCTGGCAGCATGAAGAACTGCTCCCATTGCCTAGGGCCATGGTGTCAGCAATGGATCATTTCCCAACTGACTATCGAGTGCTTGGGCAGAGTCATCACCTCCTGGCTTCAAATGTCTCCCAGTCAACAGCGTCCGCCCAACAGTCCTCTTCTCCCTCCTTGCTCTTCTCCTTAAATCGTCACCCCTCCATGTTCACATGTGCGGTCTCCAAGGTATTGCCCATACCATTGCCACCAACACCCCAGTCCACAGATGAACTGCAGGTTGGGTATCTCACCCCTACTCTTGAGGAGATAGAAAGCCCACTTTCACCATCAGGAGGAGCAGTCCCGGTCCCAAAATAAAATTTGAGAATAGAAACAAATTCTCTCTCTGGAGCCCCTTTAAAATCAGATTACTGGTATATCTAACAGAGCTTGTACAATACAGGAGTTCACTTTTAGTCTTTTCAAATACATCTGATGTTTACTGTATATTTTTCCTTTCTCTTTTTATCTAGGAAAAATAACTCTTTGCTAATACTCTGTTTTCATGAGGAGTTAACCCCTCTCCCCCAGCCCTGACTGGTGAACACTTTAATGTAATTGCAAATGGCTCTCTTTTAATTTTGTGGTTGTTTAAAAGCATTAGGTCTCGGATCACCAGCATCTTGATAGTTACTAGTGTCTGTGGAGATGATTGTACTTCAAAAGCACTTTAGATGGGCTGATG